CACAAAGGAGGGATGAGGATAGGTAAGACACCCAAAAAACTAGATAGCATTTGTTGCCCTCAATGCAGAGAAACTAAAGCAGATACTTTAAAATGACAGAGGCCAATAGGAGAAGGGAACCAGGAACTAGAGAAAAGGTTAGTTCAAGAAGAATTAACTTAGAAGGTAACACACATGTACAGGAAAGCAATGTGAGTCAACTCCCTGTATAGCTATCCTTATCTCAACTAGCAAAAACCCTTGTTCCTTCCTATTATTGCTTATACTCTCTCTTCAACAAAATTAGAGATAAGGGCAAAATAGTTTCTGCCTGGAAGCGAGGGGGTGGGGGGGAGAGGGAAGGGGTGGGGTGGTTAAGGGAGGGGGTGGGGGGAAGGGGGGAGAAATGACCCAAACATTGTATGCACATATGAATAAAATAAAAAGAAAAAGAAAAAAAAGAAAAGAAATCAATGACAGTCAGCCCTAGGACTCTTTCTATGTGGATGGGACCAAGTGTCCTCTGGGCCAAAGGAGACACCTTGGGAGATCACCACATAAATGTTTCATTTGTTTTCTATGACTGAAAACTTGTAGGCCTTACTTCCTGGCACTAAAAAGTAAAGATTTTCTGCTGAAGGGAAGAGAAATGAAAGGCATTTCCACTGTCTGTAGCAAGTGGTGGAAAGAAGGAACATGCTTGTCTATCGTAGCTCCAACATTTTTATCCCACTGTTTGTTGTTAAGGTGAAGTCATCATTGGTACATGGAAGGATAAATCTATAATCTGAAGTCTTTCTTCCTCTCATTGCTCAAATAAAGCAACAAAAAATTCACCTAATAAATGGGATCTCTCATCTGAAACAGGAAAAAGGAAGCCAGCTCCCAGAAAATACCTTTACCTACCAGTAAGGCAATTGTTCAACTGGGAATGTGAATGGAATAGTGAGCTCTTCAATGCTCTTCCACTTGGAGAAAATAGAAGGCATTTCTACATGTGGACTTCATAAAAACCTGGAAATGTATGAAATCTGCTACAAAAAGTACACAGTGGCCATGGGAATTGGTGTTTGCTCTTTCTGCTGAGGATTTAGGGCCTGCAAAGGGAAGAAGGCATTTTTTTTCTATTTTTTTTTTGCACTGGTCGTTTTAGTATTCATGTCTTCTGTACTGCTTTCTAATAAGTTAAGAATGAAACGGGAGACTGCGTGCAGGAGTGAGAAATGCAAGAAAAGCAATACTGTAAAATAAAAACGAACAAAAGTGCCTTTCTACTTCCCTTTTGTTATTAACAGGCAAGAGAACAACACTACTTAATTTTATTCTTATTACCTAACACTTCACATTTACAAAAGGGCTTCACAGTCATTTTTACATGCTATTTCTTAATACTTTTTTTTTTGACAGAGGCCAGAGAACTCTCACTATTCTTAAGCATCATTTCTGTAATGTTATATTGAATAATTGTTCCAAAAAAGAAGATAAAAATACAGTCTATGCCTTCATGGTACCAAAACAGTTTTTGTAGCAAGGATAATTGTTTTCTTTGCTGTTTGAGTGAATCAAGCCACTGATTGGCTGACTATTATTTGAATTTTTTTTTAAATGTTAAAAAGACCCACTTTTCCTCTCTCACTTACCTCTACTCTATCTGATTTATTATTATCCAATTTATTATTATGTTACATGTACCCCCGATGGATGGAGTGTTTCCAATATCCTTTTTCTTCTTTGTTATGTGATGTGCATAAATAGTGTGGCTTCTATAAGGAGGTACCTGTGCTTCTGCCTGTGGAATGGTACCTTTTGAAGAGTAGCCTTCAGATATGTTTGCTTAAGCTAAGTGCGCAATGTAGTCTAAGCATCAGAACCACAGCTAACCTCAGGTGCTAGGGACATGTTAGCCAATTTATTAGTTTGCATGAAGACAGCCATTCAGTAAATAAGCAGGCCCCATGGTAGGAGGCCATTTTCTACCTTTACCTGTCATCTTCACCTCCCTGACAAACTAGCTTAGCACTTCTGGGGGAAAAGAACAGCAAGGGAAAGTTCTGCAATACCAAGTATTTCACTGGATTTTAGGAGAATGTGGATATTTTCTTATTTTGATGAGAAACATTTCTTCATTTATAATTACATAGCCCAAGTAGCTAGATCTTTGTTACCTGACTGACTTATACAAATTTGGTCAAATAGGATACTTTAAAATATATATATATAAGCTAACAACAGAAATTATCCAGATTAAGCTGTTGATATTTCTTCAATAAATATAAAAATGTGCCCTCTCTGGGGACCACACAGTCAACAGCCTAGCAGGAAACAAACTCCATTTTTTAAAGTACATTTTTAAGGCAAAATGAAGAGTATGAATACAGTAGACTTTTATACAAAGCGTTGGGTGTTTGGGTGTACCTGAGTATAAGATGTAAGGTTCAAACTCTTTAACTATGTTTCCATTATAAGACCTTTTCTATGTTTGCATACTAATTTCTGATTTCCTTTCAATTCGAAATCAGGTGAGTTGAGTAAATAAGTATTCATTTATCTTTACTTCTTGGTCTGTAGATTATTACATCTGGCATATGAAAACTGTGGAAAGCAGCTCTCTGTTCTGGAGCAGGGAGTTGACGTGTCATGTCTGGTACAGTGTTATTTTCTCCTTTTGGCACAGAGAAATTGCACTGACTGATGCCTCTAAGGTATGAAGGTGTGGTACTTGTGCTAATATTTACAGTGGTGTTAAACTAATAGCAACAGTACCCTCAATTTATTTACTTATTTTATTTATCTACTGGGGTTTGAATGCAGGGTCTTGCACTTGCTAGACAAGTGTTCTACCACTTGAGTGATGCTGCTGGCCCTTTTTGCTTTAGTTATTTTTCAGATGTGGTCTTATGTTTTTGCCCACGCTGGCCTTGGGCCATGATTCTCCTATCTATTTCTCCTTCATATTCCTCCCCACTGCCTGACTTGTTTGTTGAGATGAGCCTCTGATAATTTTTGACAGGGTTGGCCTGGAACCTCAATCGTCTGAATTTCCCCCTCTTGAATAGTTGGGTTTACAGGCAGGAACCACTGCACCCAGCAATAGTACCACAGCTTATCAAATGTGTGCTATATACAGATGATTTATAAATGTAATTTCACTTTAAAAATAATACCCAAATGACTCTAACAAATAATAAACTAAGACTTGGAATATTTCTATGACTTGCTCAAGATTTAAAGTTCATAAATTCTTACTACATCTGGCCAAGTGGAGATTCAAATCAGGCAATGTGAAAACTTTAAGTCAGGTGACTGTATATTCCAGTCTATAACTGTTATGTGGGCATAATTAATAGATTCCCCTTTTGTGCTCAAAAGTATCTCAGTTGGGGCAATAAATTTGATGACAATCTTCTCTCTGCTCAAGGTTTAAAATGATAATAAGACTTTCTGCAGGTATTGTTCACAATGCTTTAATCAGTCTTTTTGCCTTTATTGGAAGGCTTTAAATGAGTAGTAGGTTTGGTGTATTTGGAAAAACGGATAGGTTTGTGAATGGATACCACTGATTAGTTGGGCTCCTTACCAATGCTTTCTGTTTTTCTTTCTGAGAATCTTTTCTTTTGTCTTTTTAAGTCTCCATGTGATCACTGTGTAGGCTTCCTCTTAGATCAAGTATCCGAAAATTGATTCTTTGCTTTTATTTTAGCTTTAGTTTCTGATGAATCTTTAAGATACAGTTGATCACTCCCTCAGACGTGTAAACCACTAGGTATGGTATTGTCATCAAAAAGAGGATAGGAAGCATTTTAAGACCTCTCTAACTTATTTTTTCTTTCTTCCTTCTCCTTAATCTACCTATTTCTATTCCACCATTTCTCTACTACAACTGTAGTATAGTGGCGTCCAGGGAGCTTTCTCGATGCAGTGCCTGGACAATGCTACTGCAGGTTTCGCTGGGGTAAGCCAGCTCCTAGATGTATTATTTCAAGCACCACCTCACATGTCTTTGCTACTCTTCTGCTCTTATGGGCAAACTCTTGTCCTGTGTCCATTATGTTAAAGGGCTTTCAGGAAGAGGAAATGATTTTTAAAAACAATATAGTAAAAGTATAATGGCTTAAAAGACACATGCAGTAAGAAAATCTAACTTTCACTTTTGTCAGTTTTAAATGTACGGCTTTGATTTATGGATCAAAATTGCTCATTTATTATTTTATCTATACAGCTTGGGGCAATTTTGACAGTTAAAATTTAGTTTTATTGACCAGTGCAGCCACTGTGCCCACGAGGGGACTGGTGCACACAGCTTGCTGCACTCAAGAAACGATGATTTTTGGTTCCATGACTGAGTCAAATTGGGAATCACAACCGACATAACAATAAGTTCCAAATCTCACTGCCCAAGGCAAGAGGCTTGCTGTAAAACACAATCACCCTTTAAGGAGGGGAGGAGGAGAATCTTGGCTGGAAGTTTGCAAGGACGATTTAATGCAGCTGGGACAGGCCATGGATATATCTATCCATCCAAGCTGTGGTGCACTGTAAGGAACCTTTCTCTAGTGACCCAATCCCACAGACTAAAGAATAATGAACAAAAATGCCTTAAAAAACAAAATAAATGTTAGTTACAGAGACAATGAGAACAATGATCATTTTAATGTGAAAAAATTTAATAGTCCTATTAAGTAACCTTTCATTTTTCCATCAACAAAAAAATTAAACGAAGAATTTTTTAGGGGAAGATCTCTTCTCCCTCTGCCCTACCCCCAACCATTTCAACACACAGAGACACATAAACCAGTACAGTGATTTTAGGCCATTTTTAATTTAGGACTATTCAACTACCAAATTGGCCTCTTCAGCAATGTTAATTTAGTCTTTTATTCTAAATCCCCTGTGATACATAAACAAACGTCTGAAGGTTAACAAATCAATAAAATGTCTAATTTGATTAACCATATTTTCAAATTTATCAAGACAGCTCTAACCTGAAATAAATAGGTGAGTAAATAAATAAGAGCACTCACTTGTGAGTATTTTCCATGTCTTCTTTTCATCATCATAATACTGAACCAAATTGCTGGGGAGCCGGTCCGGTCCAGGAGGCAATCCTCCAACCAATAACAGCATTTTCTTGTTAGAGCGAATTCTTCACCCAAAACAAAAGAGGAGATGAATAACCACATTATTGTAGAGTCTTTTTAGTGGCAACGAAATCGTAGCCATCACAAGAATGTTCCTTGCTTGCAGATTTCTATTTCATTTTCCCTGTTTCTTCTCCCATTCATGTCCCAACAATTTTTTTTTGAGCCAAGTAGAAAAATGATCAGAAGACATGCCTATCCCTCTACTCATGGAATAATAAGCTCCCTTTATGCAATTTGTTAGAGGTTCATTCTAGAACGACCTTTTTCTTATATTATCTCTTTAAATCATCACTCTTTACAGCTGAGCACACATGAAATGCTCTGGAGTTGTACTAAGGTTAAGCATTAAAGTTGCATGTCAAAAATCGTATTAGTCAAAATCATTATTATAAGCCATTCTCCACTCAAAGAACCTTGAAAAAATTAAGGTTATGCAGAGAGTTTGTGAGCCAACTCTTTAATCACCCAGGGAACTTCAAATACCAGTTTGGTACAATTAGTAGCACTGGGCTAACTAGGATGGGTTAACCAGTTTGAACATGAATTTTTGTTTGTTTGTATATTTAATTTAGCTTAGACTTCTGCCTCCATCTCCTCCCCCCACCCCACCCATCTCCAGCTCACCCTCCCTTCTGCTCTCCCTCTGTGCACCACTGGTGATACAGCAGCACCAATTGGTAAAAATGAGACTGTGAGGTTGTTGTGAGCCTCCCCAGAGTGGAGCCCTGCCAATGCTTGCCACTGATCCAGCGGCATGAACCTGCTCAACTGTGCAAAGTCACTCTAATTCCCTCCCTCTGTTTTTCTACCTTCTCCCCCAGGGGGCAACCACTGAAAGGAGTGACTACCCACCCATCAAGAGCTGGCAATTCGCTGCTATTAACCGTGACTGTGATTCCCAGTCTGCCTGGCAGTTCCTGAGAACAGGCCTGCAATGTCTCATATGCAGTAAAAGCTATAAGATGCACCCTGGCCGGCACACACGACCTGATGGATGTACAATCCTCAGGAACAGTAATGGATTGAGCACACTTGCCATTGAAGCAGGGAGAGGAGGCCCAGACCCCCACAAGGGGCCTGCTGATTTAACAGTCACTTTACATATAATTGAACTTTTCATTTACCTGAAAGGCTCAAGGTGATGGTGGAAGAAACAGAACAACCATGATTGAAGGAAAAAGTCAATAAATACAAAAGGGTTCTTCTTAAATATAATCACAGTTCATAGTGTGGCCTGGAATCTATTATAACATATTCAGTCCCTTCTGATTTAATAATGCTTGTCGGAAAAGGCCCTATGGAGAAGCACTGTTTGTTGGTTAAGAACCTAACATTCACTTAATACAGTTAATGACATTTCCATATGAAGGAAGGAAATGAGAGAATTCCTTTAATAAAACTGTGATGCCAATGAATGCATTGTGTTATGCCTCATAGGAAAAACACCTCCTGAAGAAGCTGTGTTCCAGACTCATCAATAGAGGGAGCTGTACTTATAGAAGAAGGACTAATGGAACAGCTGACTGCAATGTTACATTTGCCATCCTGAGGATACAGAGTTGAGCTAAAAGAAAAACAAACAAACAAACCCAACTTCTTTAAATTTAATATATCCTTGCTCTGTATCCGTAATGTCTTGTAGACCACTAGTTGGCAAACAAAACCAGAACACAGCAAAGAGCCCCCTATATTCAGGAGTTCAATGACATGGCTGAATTTGTGAAACAGGTTAAAGAAACTCAGTGCACTAAGCATCTCCTTTTAATTTGGACACAGTACACATGCAATTCATGGGTAATACAAATTCATAAATGCATAGTCACAGAACTGAGAGGTAGCTGTTTTTTTAACAGTAGTTTTTAAGTCCAAATAATCATCCACTCTATTTTGTGCAAGAGAAGTCAAGATGTAAGTAGTCTTTTGAGGTTGCTATAGGTTATCATATATAGTCACGATTCTGTGGCTGCCCTAACATCACACATGTACATGCTGCCAGATTACAGATGGGAGCAGATAGACCAATATCAACAGAATAGACATGGAAGAGTGAGTCATCGAAGTGGTGTTTGTGATGAAAGCAATGCAGTTAAATCTCTGTTTTAATTAATTAATATATGCATTGCTTTAAAATGTGTTTCATGAATGACAAAAGGAAATAAATGCATGTCTCAGATATGTTTGTAAGGTCATCTCATTCATTGATAAAACCACTGATCTCATTGGTGATTTTCCACACTGACTTACATGGTATATCTCTGTGGATGAGAAGAGGATCCGGAGTCGTAATGCTCTCTGTCCAAAGAGCCAGCCATTTCCATCTGTCCTCTAAGAACTGGACTGAGACTTTCAATACATAAACCACTGAACAGTTGGCAAATGGTAACAGCCTCCATTCTTGCCAACGATGAGATGACATGATTCAAAAGCTAGCTAGCCAGGAGCAGAGAAAGACACCACATAACTAAGACAAATCCCTAAACCATCCAGGTCTCCATAGAGAATGCAGTGAAGAATTTCCTATCTATCCTCACCGGTTGTGTATTTTCTACCAGGGGGCAATTCTTTGAGTCCATCACGTAGTGCCTTCTTAGTGAATGAAGACACATTCCAAATGTTTTTCATTATATTTATATCATCATTCAATTTGTTATGGTATTTTACTTGGAGTATTTTGTTTCTAAAGCTTGTATTAATCAATTTTCCAACCCAGCATCAATATTACTTAATTCTAAATAAAGCTGAAAGCTCTACTTTGTGGAGGTCAACCACATAGAAGCCAAAAAACAGGATAAAGTTCCTGAGATGTTACAGGACACAGAAGACATAACACATAAAATAGCAAAACACATTTGAGTGGTTTTCTCTCTCAAAACAGCTCAATGTAGTAAGTCTAACTGCATTTTACAGAGGGATGAGAACATTCCCATAGTTACTATAAGAAAACATACATTTGGATATTACACAAAACTGAAACTTTCTGGATCCAAATAAAAGGACCTAATACAGATTACTACACATTTCTTATTGCTTAAGAACAATACAAATGAGAGAAACCCTCACATATTTTACTTTGATAAAAATGTAACGTCAACTATTCAATTACTCCTAGACAGTAGTGCATGTGAATAATTCCCATGGAAAAGCTTTTATTATTTTCACAATGTGCAATTATAATAGCAACAGTGACAATAATGACAGATAAAAATTAATGTGTATTGGATATTGAACCCCTGATTATCCTGCCATTTTTTTTTGACATGTGTAAAGTTCATTTCAAAAACACCATGAAAAAAAGATACCTTGTGAACTGAAAAAAATAAAATTAAGAGAACCTGACCTAACTGTTCTGAGGGGGGCTTCAATTATTCTTTTCTAAACAATTCCAATAGAATTTTACATGTTTAATTTTAGAGTAGGCTACAAATGTAGCCTTAGTTTAATAATTGGAGCTCCATCATAGGGCAACATGGTATGTTTTTGGGAAAACTTTTAATAGGAAACCAGCTTAGCCTAAATCAATATGTTCACTTCACAGCTCTTATCATTTAAAAAATATTTCTTTTATTCATGTGCATAGCACCGGTAGGACCAAACTAATGTATTTAAAAGATAAGAAATGAGAGAAGTTTAAATAAAAAACCAAGGATAATGGTTAATAATATTACTTGGATGCCTTTGATTTGAGTTCCTGGATTTTTAATGTCCAAAAATATAAGGTTAAAAAAGCAATGGAATTTGAAAGTCTCCTTTGTTCCAGCTCAGTAGTTGCCCAACATTTACCATGTGTCATATTTGCGTGTGCGTGCTTGTGTGTGCTCTCATGTATACCTTACACCTACTTTGGTTCCGGGGATGAATGATTGAAGGATGACCTAAAGCCTCCTGGTGTAAACAAATTTTTCATGATACTGGTGTTCTAAGTATGGTAAAGTCTCATTTATTTATATGTCAGTGATTTGGAACTTTCATAGTTGGGAACCAGGCCAGATAAAGTTATCCTTTCCATGATACATGAAAAAAAATTTGCATTCACTAGACTATGAGAAGTGCTTTTACCTATTTAAGAAATCGTCTGGTTTGTAGGCACATCAGGATTACCTATGTGCATTTAAACAAAATTCATTTTGTAGACTACAACTATTTCTCATTTGTTTAGAAAAGAAGATAGCTTGTAATCTTCTAAAGATTGTCAGGGAATAAAGTTGGAAGAAAACTTTGAGGTAATCTAGTTCAGGGAGTCTCAATCCTGGCAAGTTACTGAGATGGTGTGAGAATAAAAATTTTAGATATATATATATATATATTTTTGGCAATAGTGGGAGTTGAAATCAGGGCCTTCCTTGCACTTGGTATTCTACCACTTGAGTCACTCTGCCAGCCTGCTGGTTATGTTAGAGATAGGGTCTCGATTTACACTCGACTGGCCTGGATTCCCATCCTCTTATCTGTGCTGCCCTATTTAGCTTGGCTGACAGACACATGCCACCAGTGCCCAGCCATTGGTTGAGATAGGATCTCAAGAACATTTTTTGCCCAGGCTGGCCTTGAACCTTGATCCTCCTTATCTCCATCTCTTGAGTAGCTAGGATAACAGATCTGCGCCACAGTACCTGGCAAAATTTTTAAGTTCTTTTTGTTGTTCTTGTGCTGTGTGCCGGTACATTGTAACATTTACAAAGGTTCTTACAATGTATCAAATATATCATACTTGAGTTAACCCCTTCCAACACTCTCTTTCATCCCCCTAGATTCTCAGTTCCCAACTCACAAAAATTTTGACTCAATGGGGTAAGAGAAATTAAAAATCGATACTGTTTTACAACCTCTGGGTTGAGTCTAACTCTCAGCCACATTTGGGGCCACTGACTTGATCTAGTTCTCTACATAACGTAGAAATCTTTTTACTTTTTTTTTTTAATAAATAATCATTCTTACCTATTTAGAAATTAATAATGAGATGGACCTTAGTTTTTCAAATCCATTGTTGAAAGTTCTGAGTTGT